TACAGCGCTTTGATAATTAAAGCCAATGATTTATCCTTAATTGCCAAAGAGCACAATTAAGCATTATTAGTATCATCTGAGGGGCGCAAAATGACAGTACAGGATACTAAGTAGTGAAGTAGATGAGAGGTAGAGAGGACATTCTCAGTAAAGTCATGTGGGACAGTGGACTTTTGATGACGCTGTCCCAAACCAATGGAACATTTAATAAAGTTTAACCCAAATCCGAGAGGATTTGGGTTATTTCTCAGAATGAAGTGATGAGCACGGCGTGTGGAAAAATTCTTACAACTGCATGCACTATGGCAGTGTTATTTGTCTTCAGTTCACGTATTGATCAAGTGTTTAACTCAATGTTTACCGCTAACCAAGTCTATGCTGTAACTGATATTGGGGTACGTAGTCACTTTTGGCATGAACTAGGCTTTCTCCTTGACAATAATATATTTGCTAAATCTATGAAATGTCATTTTGGATTGAAGTTTTGTAGCCCTACGTTCCTTGCGTTTTCTCCTAGCTACCAACTAACTCGAACACAAAACACTGATCTTCTATTTCAACAAGAAACAGCTAACTCTGTCAGTCGTAACTAATTAGACTAAATCCATTGAGAATGACATTCCCGTCAATCACTCTGTCACAAATGGTTCGGGTGTAAGCTGGGCCAACAATATGACTAACTAATATGGAAGAACTTGCCTACATGAGATTGAAGTATGGAATGCTGGCCTAAAGACAGATCGTGTTGGAAACACCCAAGTCATGTTAGATTCCATTGGGTGTCACGTCTAGTCACGTCTACACTCCCTCTTGTCTCATTTGACACTCAAACATTAGTTGCAATTGATACGAACTTAAAAGCATCGGACACATACCGGGATTATTTGGGATTCGTAGAATATGAAGAAATAATATTGGCTTTTGCGGCAGAGCAAATTCATTCTCTATTACTGGTAAGAACCCTTCTTTCTGCTAATGAACTCTCAAATATCTTGCTATAAATTATTCGAACCCATCTCCTCTTGCTAATTCGTGGACCTTTTACTTTCTTAAGTTGCATGATTGTCATTGGTGCACCTATGCGTTTGCTCTAGTTGAAGCAGTCTGCTGAGAGACACAACCGATTCGAATTAATAAGTAATTATAAGACATTACGTTTTGGTCAAAATTTCTCTCTTGATATATTTTCATCTTATCTTTTGATTTGGCCTGATAATGCTGACCAAAATGAAATTTTATATCGTTTGCTATATCAAATACAAGCGTCATTCATTGAATAGTGCAAACGAAACCATCCTAGTAGACAGAGAAGAAGACAAGTCTTGGAAGTTAGAAAAAGTTTATTTAATTTAAAGTGAAGTTGAAAGTTGGTGAAAAGGAAGATGTAGATTCTGTCTTCAAGGCCTTATTTAATGAAATCCATCTTCTCGGTCATCGATACTAAGGCAAGAAAATTAAGGAAATAAATCAAAATATAACATGAATATATTTAAATGATGGTCTTCTTCTTACATATGTCCAAGGCCGCAAATCACAATATTCTTCTCAATTTTGCACTTACTGAAATCAATCTTTCTTTTTAAAGTTTTGCCTTCCGCTGTTACTATTTCAACTTCCTGTATGTATTTCTTGCCGAAATTATCGCTTTCTTTTTCGTCTTCATTTCCTGCTGTTTCTGTTTTCTCTTCTTCGTCATCTTCTTCAAAGTCATCGTCATCTTCTACAAATTCATCGTCATCTCCTTCAAAGTAATAGTCTTCTTCAAAGAGATCGTCATCTTCTTCAAAGTCATCGTCATCTTCAAAGTCGTCTTCATCTTGGTTTTCACAGTCTTCTTCTCTTTCTCTTTCTCTCATTATTTCTTCTTCTCTGTCTGTGTTTCCTTCGTATTGATTGACGTCATCGTGCTTTTCAACATTGGAATGATCCAAGTAAGAGTCAGTAATTACATTCCGTGCCCTCGCGAGAAAACAGAAGAGAAGAATGCTAAAACAAAGGTGATAGCACTTCATTGTGGATAATATCTTCAAGCTCTCAATTGCCCCCCCCCCCCCAATAATATTTATAGTCCCCACATGGAGTTCATTGGTACGTCACAGCCTGCTGGACCAGCAAATTATCACATCCGACCTGATTTCTTCATGGAAGAAAGCATTTCTAATGTCAACTATCCTTTAAACTGATCTTTATTGCATACCAATAAACATTAACCATCATATAATATTAAAACTTCATGTTTCAATAGGTGGGGTGCACAATTTCCGAATGACTGAAGCAAAGAGCGCATGCACTTTCAAATTACGAGCACATGAAACTTAACATTCGTCATTCCAATCACCCTACGAGATCACGAGTATAGCGACCTCTCGATCTGGCAAAAACCATAACCGTTAGGTGGTTATCATACCCCAAAAGTGTAAATAATGATTAATTTCTCTTCATTCAGTTGTTTCAAAATACTTGGCCCTACTCCCACTCGGAAAGGTTGGCTGACCTGTGCGTGTGAGAGATATTGAAGAGGTGAAGGTGAGAAATACTGCCAGGTCAAAAGGAGTTCAAAAGACTTGGAAGAATCCCACTTAGACTCTGCTTTTCAACTGACCCATTACATGGTCAGTACTACTTTCCAACCTGGAAATTTTCTCGCATGTGTTAGTGATATTACTAGCAGTGACAATTGTGATCGATGACAATTCTTGCCATCAAGAATACCTTCTAACATTGATGTTATGCGTCAATTGCAAACGCTAATCCCACTGTGTCTGAAGAATGCCCTGAATTCTCACT